CAGGGCTCCAGCCCTGCTGGCTTTGTCTTGTAGCTTGCTGAAATGACTGAATAAACCTGAGCTGATCACTGCAATGCGTCTAGAGCCCAGGATTTAGAAGAAGAAGAAGAGAAGAAGAGATTGAATTTATACCTCGCCCTTCACTACCCAAAGGTGTCTCAGAAAGGCTTACAATCTCCATTCCCTTCCCCTCCCCACAAAAGACACCCTGTGAGGTAGGTGGGGCTGAGAGAGCTCTTTCAAGAACTGCCCTTGAGAGAACAGCTCTGAGAAGAGATTGGATTTATACCCCGCCTTTCACTACCCAAAGGTGTCTCAGAGAGGCTTACAATCTCCATTCCCTTCCCCTCCCCACAACAGACACCCTGTGAGGTAGGTGGGGCTGAGAGAGCTCTTTCAAGAACTGCCATTGAGAGAACAGCTCTGAGGAGAAGAAGAAGAAGAGAAGAGATTGGATTTATACCCCACCCTTCACTACCCAGAGGCGTCTCAGAGCGGCTTACAAACTCCTTTCCCTTCCCCTCCCCACAACAGACACCCTGTGAGGTAGGTGGGGCTGAGAGAGCTCTTGACAGAAACTGCTTCTGAGAGAACAGCTCTGAGAAAACTTGTGACTGACCCAGGGTCATCCAGCTGGCTGCATGTGGAGGAGTGGGGACTCAAATCCGGTTCTCCCAGATTAGAGTCCGTCCTCCTAAACACTACACCAAACTGGCTCTCCTCCAGAAAGACCGTTTAACATCCAGGAAGACCGTTTTGCGAAGGAAGCAGTGCTGCAGTCAAAAGGAATGGTTTGGGAGGGTCCAGAAGGGGGTAGGACTTTCAGACACACGAAGCTCGCTTTCGCTGAGTGAGAGCACTGGACCATCGAGATCAGTATTGTCTACTCAGCTACTCAGTCTCCAGGGTCTCAAGCAGCAGTCTTTCATTTACGGTCAGATATTTTTACGTGGCAATGCCGGGGATTGAACCTGGGACCTTCTGTACGAAGAGCAGATGCTCTACCACTGCCCGCATCGTTTTTATATTGTGTGATCCGCCTTGAGTCTCTGTGAGAAAAGCCAGGCAGTAAATGAAGCAGCGTTCCGTGCGCCTTGGTGTTTAGTTATGCCGGCCACATGACCATGGAAACGTCTTCGGACAGCGCTGGCTCTTCGGCTTGGAAACGGAGATGAGCACCGCAACCCTAGAGTCGGATTCGACTGGCTTTCGAGCAAGGGAGACCTTTACCTTTACCTAAACGAAGCAGATAGACCCGTGACGAGCTTAACCATGCCTACATCGGCCTTGAAATACACAGCATCTAAAAGACCATTTTACTTACCCAATAAAATGTCTTGGCTTGTTCTCCAGGGTGAGTTTGTCCAAAAAAAAGTTGATGTAATAGAGCAGAGCCATGAGGAAATCATCCAGCTGCTTACACCTAGGGCGAAATTTGAAAATCTCACGATGCCGCACGGGTGAACGTCACAACAGAGCGTTTGTTCCAGGGACAGGGGTTGTCGCTCACTCAGCCCTACGCGTCAGGATCCCCCTTAATGGCCAGAAGTGCTGCTGCCTTCTCCGCCATCATCAGTACGAAGACTGCGCACTGATTTCATGAGTTGTTCTATTTGCCATTGTTTTGCCTGGAATCCAACAAACTCCCTGTCTGTGCCTCAAGCAATTCTGCCAGTCCATTGAACTTTGGCCAAGGCCACTCCCCAGAATAAGGAGGAGGAGGAGGAGATTGGATTTATACCCCGCCTTTCACTACCCAAAGGAGTCTCAGAGCGGCTTACAAACTCCTTTCCCTTCCCCTCCCCACGACAGACACCCTGTGAGGTAAAAGAAGAAGAAGAAGAGATTGGATTTATACC